TGAACAGGGAAGAAACAAAATTCCATGTTACAACTCCTGAATACAGTAGTGGCTTCCACTCTTTGAAGAATAAGGCTATTTCTACAGACAGGAGCAGGGAGGGAAATTCTAAATAAATCTTCTTTGTTCCAGTAACTCCTGCCCATCTGGTCAGAGCTACAACTGAAGCGTTACATGTACCATAGTCCATCATGGAGTTTGCTTTCCAAGGCTGAAGTCTATCACTTCACAACTGTTAGTCACTCAACTGAAATATAAGGGAAAAAAAAAAAAAAAAAAAGAGAAGAAAAAAAAAAAAGGAAGCAATGCAAAGAATAGGCAGGGCAGGTACCCTGATCAGAATGAGGGAAATGAAGGTATGTGTAAGCTACAACGCCTGTTACAGACAGCCCAGGATGCAGCCCTGGCAAACTCTTATAATGCTGATGGCAGGGTTTGATTATGTGCATTTCAAAAGAGTATGATGGGTGAAATTCAATCCTGAGATTGGGTTTGTAAGTGAAGGCTGAATGAAGAATCTGTAGAGATATTTTTAGTGATCTGTTTAAACAACAGATAAAAATTTAAGTTAGAAAAAAATCAGTTTTAAGAAGTTTAAAAGTCTCTCAAGCTTAATATATGTGAAAAGCAGCAAGAGAACAATGTATAGCTAGTCTATAGGTCACCTGCTTTGGAAGAATGAGTTTGGGCTGGCATGGAAGAGGTATGCTTTATCGCAGAGGCATATTGATTTATATTTTTTGTATAAAATAAATGTTTATGCTAGGGGATCTGACACCTTTGCAATATGATGATGAATTCTTTGGTCTCTGGCAGGCAGTTAACAATACCAGGTGCTCTAGAGTCAATAAAAAGCGATGCACTGATACTCAGAAGACTGGTGGAAAGACTTAGGGGAGGCAGATGATTTCTAATTAACTCAGGTTGAGAATTTTGCTGGAAAATATAATTGGAAATAAAAAAAGATTAACAATTTTGGGGAGTCCAAGATTAATTTCTGTTCTAAAAAAAAAAAAAAGAAAGCTAGAATTTTGCTGCTACTTATTGGTGTGCAATGTGGGATAGTTGTTAGAAATCAGGTTTAACATGCATATGGGTGAAAACTAGCAGAGGCAGTATGTGTTGAGCAATATTGGAGTGAATGAGCATTTTGCAATGGTGAAATTTATTTCCAGAGGGCAATACTGTAATGACACTTTCATGGTTCCTTTTCTATTAGCAACAACTGGAAATGTGAAATGAACTGTGAATCGTTGTTGCGTAGTTTGGCCTAATGTAAGATGAAGTAAAGCGGGTACGCACCTCCAAAGCGATACTGATGCTCTCAGAGATGCATCAGTTGCCATGACTTCCCCACATAAGAACAGTTGTGTGTGCAGTCAGTGCTTGCATCCATTATGGGATGGATTGCTGCATTAGCAGAATGTAGAAAAACAGGAAGGGGAAACAGAGGGAAGAGGAGTAATAGCAGGTAGCCATAATATAGAGAAATAACAGAAATAACAGCTAAAGCTCTTACAGATTTGTAATGCAAAGTGATAGGGGAGTAAAAGATTATTTAGCCAAATATGTGGTTCTAAAGACAGAGATGATGCTTTGCTGTGATTTGGACCTGTTGCTGAAACAAAGAATGGAACTTCATTTGGATGCTTGCTTTTGTGCTGTTATAATTAATGGTAGGGCTCATTTTTGGGACTGGAGGTTGTTTCTTTTAGTGGGGTTACAGCATCTCTACCGTTAGCTGATGACCTGCAAACATGCAGGGCAATGGAAAGTCAAAGACACTGCAAGGCAGTTCATCAAGGAAAATGTTGGTGCTGTGTGAAGAGTGAACACTGAGTAAAGTGTTCAACCTTAAATAGTGTGTGGTAATATGGACACATGTCCAAGCTGGAGAAAGATTTCCCCCTGTGCTGGAGGGTAATATTTTCAACTGTCTTGAAGGGAACTTACATAGCTTTAGCTTCTGAATTACAGAATTGCCCTGAAAGATACACTTTCAATGGCTTGATAGAATAGTACACACCAGGATGCCAGAGACATCTTAGAAATGCTCTTATTTGAGTGAGGGGCAAAGTCCCCATCAATCTTAGATGTGAGGGTTGGGGCCCTAATTACGTTTAGATGACATGTTTTTGGTTTGTGGTTTGGTTTTGGTTTTTTGTTTTGTTTTTGGTTTTTTGTTTTTTGTTTTTTTTTAGTAGGGTAAACCATGAAGTCAAAATCTGAGTCACTTTTGCTCTACTGGACTGATACAAGACTTACTTAGATAAAATACTTGCATGCTCTCAGGGGTTTCATTCGGATTTTAGTTGTTAGGATTGGATACACACAAATGTAGCAGGCATAGAATGCATATTTTAAAGTGTTTATCCAATTTATGTAGCTTACTGCTTTTCTTACTGCATCTGTATTTCTTTGATCTTCTACAAACTTCCCTTTATGTTCTTCTGATTAAATAATAAATCCTGGGATTTCTACTCTGTTGTAAATAAATATTTTATCATTAAGGATTTTGAAGAAGTTGAAGTAATTGAAGACTTTTGAAAATATTCTGAAGAAACCTCTCAGCTATGTACAGCAGAGGCAGTTTAAAGAACATTGTAAATTAGGATCCTATTGTTAGTGCTTTATAAAGGTAAATTTTAAGTATGGCAATCCAGGATATGTCTTCAAACATATCAAGCAGGTGTATGATACTCTAATGCTGTTTCAAAAAACATTGTCAAAAGCCCATACACAAATCTGGTGCATCCCTGCCATCACTGACTCCTGAGAGAAACTGGGATAGCTTTTGGCAGGTATTGTGCGAGGGCCTTAATTTGTTACAGCCGTCACGTTGATGTGCATTCCTTTCTTTTCTGTTCTGCTTGGTTTCCTGGGGAAATTAGACTTTTTCTGTCATACTCTCTCTCTGCCAGCTTGTCCAACTCTATCCTATTGACTTTGTGAATCCATGGGCCAATTTTAGTCCTATTTAACAGTGAGGCAGGTGCCTTAATGATATTAAGGTTCTACTGCTGTAATGAATGTTGGCGGCCAGACAGAGGAGAGAGATGTAATTAATGCCTGTATTGATGAAAAGGCGTCAGTGTGTGCTCGGCTTTTTCTAGGTATCCTGCTTTATTAGCTCTGTTGTGAAGGAAACTGCCCGTTTTTATATTGTGTGAGCATTATTGTGGTTTTGCCTCTGTGGTTTATCTTGCTATCATGCATAAGAGCCCTAATGAGGGTTCAAAATGCCATTGAGCGTGCCAGCGTTGAGTGTGAAGGCTGCTACTAACAAATGTCAGAGTTACTAATTCTGGGAGGTAACAGAGCTGCATGAGGACAAAAATCTCTTCTTTCACTGCTGCTCCTGACTTTGACTCACTAGCTGCTCTCGTCTTACGGGGAGGCCAGCGTCTGCTGCCTCTCTTACATGATAGTCTCTTATCTTTTTCAGCTTTAACATTCTGTAAAAAATGGGGAAAAACAAGGAAGCTTTGCCATCTGGACAGAAATCATGAAGAAAGATTATTTACTTGGGTTTGAACGGCTGGTGTAGGATAGCCAAACTTTTGCACAGAGGACAAACAGCAGAAACATACATTGTTTTGCAGTTTTAAATTTATAAAAGGTGTGTATCTGGGATATGGTTAAGTATGATGTATGTGCAAGTTCAGAAATTATATGCTGTAGATCACTGCCTAATTGCCTTTTAGACTGGAAGTTTAGAATTGACCTGTCAGACTTTCATAAAATAGGTCAGTTTGATTTTGAATTATTAACTTGAGGCAGAAATGGCTCATAAGAAGATGTGTAACCCAGTAATGTGAGTCTTTCTAACATGCCAGGCTTGGCTCATAATGGTGCTTATAGATGACCTTGCTCAAGTTCCTGACTAAGTATGCAATAAATGTATTCTTTTTTTCCTGTAGCAAGATAATTTAAGCAATAATTTAAGTCAACATGTCGTGACTCTTGCCTTCCTGCAACTTTGTTGTGGTACCTTTACATTTTGTTCACACTTTTGTGTTCCTCTAGTCTTATAAGTGGTTCTTCTCAGCAATTGCAGATAGTAAGGCAGCCACCACTAATTCTGAGTAATGGAAAGAATGTACGTGCACACTTCTGTAAGCTGTTATTTAACATGTTTTTAATGAATCCTGTTTTTTTTTTCTCTTAATATATATGCTGGTTGTACGTGCCAGAAGCTGTGTGATGAGTTTGCAGACTTGTCTACTTACACAACTGTTTCTTTCTGGATGTTTTTTATTACTCATATCATGGAATATGTTGCCTAATTTGTAAAATATCAGGACTGTGAAATGGGAGTAGGAAATTACTGAATACCACACACACAATTTTTATTTTTTTAAGAATGAGCTCTCCTGCTCAAATACAGAAAACTTTAAGGAGTCTGCAAACACTTTCACAAAGAATTGGCTCAGTATTGGTCCAAACTAGTAAAACACCCAAGCCTCTCTGAAATGGAGTATGTGATTAACCTTCCTTGACAAATGGGAGCTATTGTGAATAATATGACCCCATGGGTCAGAACAAAGCAAACTTAACACTTTTGTTTTCAAAACGGTTGATCAGCAGGACTTTTGGTTATTGTGGAGCAAACCTTTTGGCTTTCATAGGCTGATTTTTGATTTGTAAAGTGTTCTGAAAACAGCCCTGAATTCTCAGGTAACACTATGGCTTTGCCCAGTTGGAGTACCTAGAGCAGTGAGTTGGCTCTCCGGAGGGTTGTCTCACGGGAGATGAATGAAGGGAGGTTGTTTGCCCTGGCTTGGGACTTGAAGAGCTTAAATGGGTTGGCCACAGGTGACTCCAGGGAATATAGAGTTTGCTTCCCAATTCTGTATTTAGAATATACATTTCTGACATTTATTTCACACTTGCAAAAGTTATTTCAAGAATGTAACATGAAGATGTGGAAAGAGGAGAAAGGCAAAGAGAATTTCCCATAGAAATTTTGTTTATATTTTTGTTCTTTTCATTCCAGTGAAATGAAGCAGAAGTTGGATGAAGAGGGTAACAAGTGCAGCATCCTTTCCAAGCAGGAGAAGTTCAACGAGCACTGCTGTATCCGCTGCTGTTCCCCTTTCACATTTCTCATCAACAGCAAGCGACAGTGCCAAGACTGCAAGTACAACATCTGCAAGAGCTGCAGTTCGTACCAGAAGAAGGAGAAGGCTTGGATTTGCAGCGTCTGTCAGCAAGCAAGGTAAAAGCCTATTGTTCAACAACCTGTGTAAAGCAGCTGTGACCTGACCTCAGCTTTTCCATGGATTTGTCAGTAGTTAACGCTGGTAGCATAGGACATGAAGTACCTGTTTACGTAGGGGTTGATTTGTCCCTGAGGTGTGACATGCCTGGTTTTCACAGAGGTTAATTTGTTCCGAGAGTGTTTGGCTACCTGTTGCATTTTCCAGGCTTTGCTTAGCTGGACTGATGAATCAGCAAGCAGTAACTGGACTTAGCTTGAGCAGGGATGGAATCTCCTGAAATGCTTGGGTTACTGATGGAACCTGAGCGGAGATGGTGGTAAGGCAGTTAATCGTTTTGCAGCAAATCCTGTGATGGCTGGGGAGTGGAAGGAAGAATATAATTGACTAGATCATCCAGCTGTGACTGTGTTCTTGGAATGCCTTTCTCAATGCCAGTTTATTGCTGGGGATGCTTCAGGCTTACTTTGGCAAATAATCAGAGAAAATAGCACTGCAACCTGTTATAATTCTTCACATCTGTTAGGAAAACACTGCCAGGCTTCTATTTGCAGAGGGTATCGGGGATTTACCATCTCACACTTTTGAGGCTAACATAGCCAACACAATTAAAGATAGCACCAGGAAAGCAAAGCAAATCCAAGCAAATACAGAACAGCAGCAAAGGAGCTGTTCCCTGGCAGGTGATGTGATAGTCCTTCTTCTCTGTGTTGCCGGACAGGTTCCAAAACCAGCCTTAGCTGTGGTGGTCTAGCACTCACCAAGGCCTTTTTTACTCAGACAAGAAGGGTGAATGAGATAGCCTGATTCCTCAGAATTAATTTTGAACATCGGTGACTAAAACAGCTGAGCAAATGTGACAAAGATGGCTATTTATTCTTTACCTTCCCCATTAGGGGAGAACACAGGATGGAGACAAGAGCTGGGTCCCTTTCCAATGCTGTCTGATACTCCTGTGCTCACCAAACACTCATTGCTCCCACCTGTTTCCCATCAACACCCACTGGAAATTTAAGCTTTCACATAGGATCTGTGAGTGAAGTGTGTGCCCTTTGACACAGGGCCTTAAAATCACAGGAATCCCAAAAAAAATGCAGTGTTTCCAAATTCCAGCCTTTGAACGCAAAGCAGGTTGTGTTCTTTGGGGAACCTGCTCCTTTCTGCCTTTTCCCTTGGCAAACCTACATACCCCACCTTTCCCCCATTGAGGAGGCAGAAGAATGGCAGGAGTATCTTTTCCAGCAACACAGAGAACTTGTTTCTACTTTAGTTACTGGACTGTTTCATATTACATCTCTTTCTCCCATTTCTCATGAGTTCAGTCATACGGGCAGCAGAACAGCATTGTGGATGCTGATGAACTGCACTTAAAATAGTTTTTGCTGACTACACAAAAAAAAATCTCAGAAGAATTTAATTTCAGAAGAAAAATCTATAGCTGTATTCTGAAAATGCTATTTCTGACCCTTGAAGTCAGTGCTTTTCGCACCATCCCGTGCAGCCCTCAGGAGTCACCCACCTGTAACTCAGTTATAAACATTTTCTTTATTTGTGAGACCTGAGACACAGCTTGAGTTATTTTTCAGTGAATAAATTAACTAACACGGCTGCTAATCATGTCATGATCTGGTTTATTGATTGGTGAGACTCACAAATCCCTGTCAGGGAGGCAGGGGCTGAGGTGCTTTGGTTTGGTGGGGACAAAAGAAGTACTCCTAGTTAATCACTGAACCTTAGATTTGTTTGTTGATGCACTCAGCTGTAACAAAACAGTTGGTTTCAGGACTTAGTTGTGGAAGGCTAATGAAGATATTATGCTACTTAACAATCTTGTTCTACTTTCAGGCAGGCTAAGCCATCTGGTAAAAGGAAGCTGAAATATCTTTTAGGTAGTCTGCCTCAGCCGCAGACTGGAGCTTTGTGTCTACTTTTGTGAGAGTTGTGTACTTCTGCTGTCTTGAGGTCCTTGCTGACATTGCAGAGAGCTTCTACGGGATTTGGAAGCTGTGACTTTGTCATGTAAATGCCAGGAAATGTGTTTTTCCTTCTGAGATAGAATTGGATAGGAGCATTGACTTGCTGTGTGGCATAGCTGAAAAGATAGTTTTAGCTCTTCCATGGGCACGTTGTCTTCACTGGGCCCATATGGGTCTTGTTCTGCTTTTTTAAAAAGTCCTCTAAATGATCCCATTCATATTGTACTTAAGGGATTGTTTAATTTGAAGTAAAAAGAAGTGAAAATTATTTTCCTCAGCTGTATGTATGTGTAGAAGTTAATGGAATTCCTTCCAAAAATGCCTGCTGCTCTATTCCAATTTTCTTCCTCCTCCTCCCACCACTGTTTCTCTGTTTTGAATCCTGTCTCTTGATTTCCTTCTCCTTACCATGCTTTAGCATCACAGTGAATCACAAACACCATATCATTTTGCTTACAGTACCTGTGACGAGCAAGGGCAGTAGCTTGGATTTTGCACAAGAGCCAGGAACGGTCTTTGGTTTATTCAGTTGTTCCCTTGCTGGAGGAGGAGAGAGAAATGTGTAAACTGGTTGCTTTGGCAGGTTGATCTCTTCTGGGTTGTTTGCTACCCTGATCTGTCTTAATTATTTCAGAAGCATGCACTCTGAAGAATTTAAATTCCGCTAGAGAGAGGAAAGCCGTACTTGCATAACACACAGCAGACTGCAGTGCTGCACTCAACTTTAAGAAAAGTGTCTAAAAATTGAATTGATGAGGAGAGCAGGAAAGAGAGGTCTATTGAAGTGGCTAAATACAAGTGCTAATTAGGCCAGCTCTTCTAGCTTTAAGTAGCCTCGGAAGTGAGCATGTGGCTGAGTGCCTGAAGGGCTAATCCATGTTTCAGGAGCTCTGGATTCCAGTTTGAGCTGTTCACCTGATTGTCAAGTGACCTTGGGAAAGCTTCTGTTTCTCAGGTTTCCCCATGTGCAGAATAGGTTTAATGATGCTGAGCTCTTGGAGGTCAGTGGTTGAAAAGTTAAATGCTATAGCTGTAAAGTGCTAAGTATTATTAATGTGCTGTTCTTACAGAAGTTTTGCTGCAGTCAGCATGGTTAAAACCTTTGCTTTATGTGTTGCAGTAGCACAGGAAAGTAAGTGCTTGGATTCTTGTAGGGAATGAATGAGGACAGAATATCGCGGCTTTATTTTCAATGTTAATATGTAAATGCTTGCCTGTGTTTGGCCCCACCTACCTGCAGCAAATCATAGTAAGAGATGTTATCCCACATTTTCCCTAGTAGGAATAAATATTATGTAAATAGCGTGCAAAAATCCTGAGGCTGCTGAACTGGGAGGAGAGGAATATGAAAGGATGTAACACAGTTTTTCTATATAATAAGCAGCATACAGATGATAGATTGGATTTATATAGCTTTCCAGTTTTGCAAAAGCTGAGGGACTTTCGGTGGAGGTGGCAAATGAGAAGCTAATAAAAAACCCCCAGGATTCTTCAAGTGTGAGCACGTAAATGGCAAGTGGGAACATCACCCCTTGCAGTAGCTGAGGAAGGAAATCTCAAGTATCAACTGGAGTTTAGGGAAGAATTTCTCTTGTGTCGGTTCTGTAACTGGGACTTCCCATACTCTGTACCCTGTCACTGACAACTGTTGCAGGAGCAGACTTGGGGGGCTGTGGGCCATTACAGGCCCTACGTTGGGTTGGTGGCGGTCAGGGAAGATGTAGGGTTCATGGTGGTCAAACAAGGGAGAACAAGAAATAGCAATATCTAATTAGATGGCCTTGGAACATGTTAAAAGCTGTTAAACTTTTTTTATTTTAAACAACATTGAATTAGTACCCGTGAAAGTCCCCTTGGAAAAAAAGTGAAATTATAAAACTAAATCTACTGGCTTTTATTTTAAATATAAAAATCTTGTCTATGCAGGGTTTTTTCACAACTTCTCATCTAGATCAGATGTTCAATTTTGGGGTCAAGTCAGAGTATCTTTGTACATCATTGCATTAGAATTTCTTTTTCTGGTCTCTGTTACATGGCAGCTATGCTGAATTATTTTTAAGATCACATTTCCCTTGTTAAGTCTTATTGTGCTACTAAGGTAGCCTTTAAACGGAGCAGCATGCACTTTCACGTAGACATACCATTGAACATCTTTTAATTTTCAGTTATGAAAGATTGCTAATTGGCTTGATATATTTGTTTCAGCATTTGCTGAGTCTTCCGGTTTTCTCCTGCTGTATTTGTGCAACCGTTGAGCTTTGGAGAAGTACAGAAATCTCCCACCTAAGCACCACATAGATTTAGCTCCCATACACTCCTCCCAAGGAGAGGAGACTATTTATACCTGTAGTGTATGCTTCTCTTTGTTGTTATAAGCTGTATATAAAGACTATTTCCGCAGTCCATAAGTAATTAAGATTTTTTTTGCCAAAATCGTATCATTTTTATCCCACTGCCTATGGATCAAAGACCCTCTGTGCCTTCTCAGTGCTTTTTCTTTCTAAAGGTTTATCCTGTTAGCTGTGAACAGCTGCCCAGTTATGCGTGGGTACACTTAGAAGCATTATAAATGCTCTGGTTCGCAGTTCTTTTGTGGGAATAATATTGTAAACCCTCCAGATTTGCAGCCACTAGCTGTGTAAAGGCAATAACAACTGTGTCTTTTTTCTAGCCAATGCTTTTTGCAATCAGGAATGGTACCCTCTTGAAGGGTTCCTGTGGTACCAAAGAAGTTAAAGTAAGAATTTAATTTGTCATTTTTAAAAAGCTTAACCACATCAAGAAATAAGTCCCTCTATGTTCTTATTCTTCAGCCCCACCTCTCACATGGAATAGATAGTGAAGCACTTATTCGCTAAGAATCCATGAGGTCATGCATTTACGTGTTTCATCAGGCAGTAACTCATCCCACTTCTGTGGCTTGGGGGGAAAGGAAAATGGAAAAAGAAATTGTTAAGTCTTTCTGCTAAAGTCAAAGTTTTATAAATTTGTGTGAAGAATTAAATATATGGCTTTCTCATGCT